GGGCGTCTTGGGCCGTCTGGAGTCTATTTGGCCGTTCTGGAGGAGCCGTCGGCGACTGGGGGCCCTCTTGAACAGTCTTGGGGGCCTCTTGGGGCTTATGGGTTCGTTGTGGGGGCCTCTATCCTCCCATGATGTGGTGGGGCTGGGTCAGGGGGATCCGGGCGGACCCCCTCCCTCCAAATCGACCGGACGGGGGTCTGGGTGGAGGGGCGGGGAGGGATGGGAGGGGTAAGCATCTCACATGCTGAAGAAACCTCGAGTGGTCGGGGGATGTTGCCGCCACGCAGATTCCAGGTTTTTATCTGAGTAGGATGGTGGGCCTGCGCACAAGGGGTAACATGATGCCCCCTGCCGTCGTGTAACAGACCAGTGCACAGTGAGGGCGGGACGCCCGAAGATGATCCATGTTATGTCGCACAGTGCATCTCGTCTTGTAATTCTGGATGGTTGGGGGGATTGTTTTTCTTCGGGTCGGCCGTCGGTCGAGGGGGTGGGTGTCGGTGGATACGGTGCAGGCGTATGTCACTTTTCTAAGGAGAAGAAGGGGTTTGGACGGGAGGCTCCCCTAACCCACTGACACCCAGAGGGCTGGTGGGATGTTGTTTGGCGGCGCAGTTCGTGTAGGCCGCGAGAGGGTCTTCGTCGCAGGCGCTACAGACGCCTCGAAAGCTTGGTCGGGGTGATGCTCAGGAGAAGCTTGCCGGGGAGGTGATTGACAAGGGGACAGGAGGTGGGAAGGATCTGATGGGACGAGAGTGGAGTGACCGTGGGCTAGTTTCAGGCAGTGTCGATTAGATTCGGAACGGTACCTCTCTTTCAAGTGCGCGTAAGGAATCATGCCTCCGACGCAACGCTGGGCCGTTCTGGGCGGGTCGAGTGCAGTCTCGATGCCATCTTGCATCGTCGTCGGGCTACCTTGAGCCATCTCGGCGCAGCGGGGAAACGGGCGAGAACCCACGTGTACATTCGGCGGGCATTTGTCAAACAACGTTTTGGAACTGTCGTATGGGTCTCGGAGCGAGCCGTAGGGCGTGTCAGGGCCCTCTTGGACAATCTGCCGCGCGCTCGCCAAAACTGCTCTGTGGGCTCACGGCAATCGCGGCGCTGTCCGCATCGGCGGCAAGTATCTCTTCGGCTGACATTTTCAATGTTCGCCGTGCACGCACAGGGAAACTGGCGAGAACCCACGTGTACAAACGGCGGGCGTATGTTCAAACTCCAGACAGACGATTCTCGATTAGCCTTCGGCACGTTCCGCCCCCTGCGCCTGGGCTGCGGGTCGGAGGCCACGCGGATGGCGAACGGGGTCTCTCGTGGGAGGCGTCTCGGGGGCGTTTTGGAAACAGTTTTTGAACGTCTTGGGGGCCTCCATGGGGGCCTCTGGGTAGCTTTTCTGGAGCCTTGCGGAGCTCCCTGGGAGCCTGCTGGGGACTTCTTGGGACAACCTGGGCGGCGGTGCAGGGCAGAAGGCTCGAAACGTCTGTGTGGGTTCCCACTCTGGACCCCCTCTTGGGGTTGTCGCGGGGCCCTCCCGGGCCGTCTTTGCCCTCTTTGGAGCGGTCTCGTGTCCTTGCTGAGTGCTCTGAGAGGCCTCCCGCCTCGCCGACTCCCGCGCCCGACCGGCTCGCCGACTCCCGGACCGACGACGGATGCGTATGTCCTGGAATACTCCTTGGAGGTAGTGAACATGTCAGAGGACCCAGAAAAAAAGCTGGTACAGTCGGGGCCCTGAAGAAGGAACCCTTTTGGTTGGGGAGGGGCTCCGCGTTCCTTAAGTGTTTCACAGCTTGCCTCAGGTTGTCCTTATATTTTCGATAGGAAATCGAAGTGTAACTAATGGGAAAAAGGGGCTTCGTTCCTTATTTAGGGTTCCTTAGGTCAACGCCCCGACTGTATGCCTGGAGTGATGAAGACCTGGCTCTTCCTGCACTGGAAGGAGGGCGCCGCGTCAGCGAAGCCGCGCGACCTGCCTCGGGACGGCCTCTCCTCGCCGAGGGGCGCCAGCCGTGCAGCCACGCGGCCATCGGCTCCCCGACCTGCGGCTCGGGCGTTCGTGCACATCTCTCTCCGCCTTCACTGCGTACCTCTCCGCCTCCGGCTCCGACTCCACCGACCCCGAGCTGCGGATTTGTGGTGCCACCCGGTCTGCGGGGTGGTGTCAGGGCCATTCACAGGGTCACGTGGAGTGTGGCCGTCGGCTTCATCTTCTGAGGGCGGCTGCAACTGGCTGCGCCTGGGTCCCTCCTCCTTCTCCTCCTCCTCCTCCTCTTCCTCCTCCTCCTCCTCCTCCTCCTCCTCCTCCTCCCCTCTTTTTTGCCTCCTCGGTGATGGCGCTGCCTGTTCCTTCTAGCATGCGCTTGATATTTGAAATTTTCCACGTTGCTTTTCTCTGGATAGCGATCTGGGATTGCACGGCTGGCGGTGAGCCAACAGTCGCTGGATAGCGATCCGGGCTTGCACGGCTGGCGGTGGCTGCCCACGCAACCGCCTGATCGTCTGGTCAGCCGCGTTGTCTGGCTTCGGCCTTCCGCCGCACTGCTTGATACATCCAGTTTACTTGCTTAGCTGGCTATGTGCTGTAGCCTCGCATTCTCGGTACTTTGGTTGTCATGCGTTGGCCTTCCTTGCCCTCTCCTCCTGCCCTCCTCTCTCCTTCGCCGTTCTTGGGTTCCCCTCGTGCATTCACTTTTCCGCTCGAGGGGTTCTGCGGCATTCAAGCAGCACCTGTCGCACACGCTTTCGCTCGAGCCCCAAGGAAACATTGCTCGAGACCGGCCGGCGTATATGCTGTAGGGTAATCCACAGCCGCCGCCGCGGTGTGGCGCTGAGTGTTGGCTCCGTTTGTGCAGTCTTCCTCCCTCCCTTTCTTCTCCTCCTCCTCATCCTCTTCTGCTCCCTGGGAATCGAAACTGAGTAAGGCTGGTTGCGGGCCTAAGTGCAGCCATGTATTCGCTGAGTGACGTTCGAGCAATCTCCCCCCACGCCCTGCGGGGTGATCTCTTCCCTCTCCTTCGTTGCATTGCGCTGGGGAAAACTGGAAGATTCTTGGTCTATCTTGCATGTTGTGTGATCGCGGGAGAGGCGAATGTGCTAAACATGCAGGTTCTCCAATTGAGATGGGGCGGTTTTTGTTCCTTGAGGCTGTCCTTGGACGCCTCTTGATGGCTTCTTGGGGCGTCTTGGGGGCTCCTTGGGCCGTCTGGAGGCCAGCGGGGGCGTTTTCGATCGATCGTTCGGCGGCTCGTGGCCCTCTTGGACCGTCCAGAGGGCCCCTTGGTGTCCTCTTGGCTGGTTTTTGGGCCCTCTGTCCCCTCGTTTGAGTCGTCTGAGAGCCCTCTGGGGGGCCTCTTGGGCCGTCTTGCGGCGACCCAGGGGGCTTTTTGGGTTGTCTTGAATGCTGTGATCGCAGGAGGGGCGAATGTGCTAACAATGCAGGTTTTCCTATGGACATGAAGATTTTTGCTCTTCAAGGCTGTCTTGGGACGCCTCTTTGGGCTTCTTGGGGAGTCTGGGGGGCCTTATGGGCTGTCTGGAGGCCAGCGTGGTCGTTTTCGATCGATCGTTCGGCGGCTCGTGGCCCTCGTGGACTGTCCAGAGGGCCCCTTAGTGCCCTCTTGGCCTGTTTTGGGACCCTCTGTCTCCCCTTTTGGGTCGTCTGAGAGCCCTCTGGGGGGCCTCTTGGGCCGTCGTAGTGCGATCCAGGATGCTTCTTGGGCTGTTTTTGCGGTTGTGATCGCAGGAGAGGCGAATGTGCTAAACCTGCAGGTTGTCCAATGGAAATGAAGCGATTTTTGCTCTTCAGAGCCGTCTTGGGACGCCTCTTGGGGCTTCTTGGGGCGTCTTGGTGGCCTCTTGGGCTGCCTGGAGGCCAGCGTCGTCGTTTTCGATCGATCGTTCGGCGGCTCGTGGCCCTCGTGGACCGTCCAGAGGGCCTCTTGGTGCCCTCTTGGCCTGTTTTGGGACCCTCTGTCTCCCCTTTTGGGTCGTCTGAGAGCCCTCTGGGGGGCCTCTTGGGCCGTCTTGGGGCGACCCAGGGGGCTTCGTGGGCTGTTTTTGCTGTTGTGATCGCAGGAGAGGCGGATGTGCTAAACCTGCAGGTTCTCCAATGGAAATGAGGCGAGTTTTGCTCTTCAAGGCTGTCTTGGGACGCCTCTTGGGGCTTCGTGGGGCGTCTTGGTGGCCTCTTGGGCTGTCTGTAGGCCAGCGTCGTCGTTTTCGATCGATCGTTCGGCGGCTCGTGGCCCTCTTGGACCGTCCAGAGGGCCTCTTGGTGCCCTCTTGGCCTCCTTTGGGGCCCCCTCTATCCCCCCGTGGCACGTTCGCCCGGTCTCCTGGGGCTCCCCCCCCTCCCCAGTAAATCGACCAGACTGTGCTTCCCGGGGAGGGGTTTGGGGAGGGAGAAACATCTCCCACGCCGATGAACCCCAAGGGGTCGGCGGATTTCTCATCGTATGTCGGCGGCGCGCCCGGGGGGCAAGGCAGAGGGGGCGGCGGCGGCGAGGCTTCTTAGAACCCACCCCGCCTTCCGAAAGGCCCCCCGAGCCTGCTCCGCGAGCTTCCCGGGAGGCGGGAGGGCTTCCGAAGAGCCCCGCCGCCTTCTGAGGAGGCCGGCCCCCCTCGCTCCCCACCCCTCGGCGCGCCGCCGAGTTCGGCGTTCGGGTCGCAGTTCGGGTCTCTGGCGGCCGCGGGGACGATCCGGGCCCCCGGGGAGCCCCCCCGGCGAGGCGCAACTGCTGGAGAGCACCCCGAGGCCGGGAAGCCTCTGGGAGCCAACGAACTCGTCACGGGCGCGCCGCCGACGCACGCGCCACGCCTGCAGGGCGCGCCGCCGCGCACTGCGTCTGACGTGTTTCGATGTCGTTTCACCGAGCCCCATCCCCACGCCTATCCCTGTCCAGGGGGGGAAATCCGCCAGTGGGGGCCCAGGCCACACCCATCGGGCCACTGGTCGGCTAAGCGATGCTCAGTGTTCCCCGTGCCGAGCTAGCCCCGGCGCGCAGGTGCTCGTCGTGGGAGACGAGAACCTTCTCTTCACCGCCGGGCTGCAGAAGGCGCGCGCACGCGCGCTCGGCCTGGCCTCGTCCACCTCTCCTTCGCCTCGTGCTGCCCCTCCTCCTCCTCCTCCTCCTCCTCCTCCTCCTCCTCCTCTTCCTGCCGCCTGTTTCTCTCCCCTCTCTTTCTCCCCCCCCCCCCCCCTATCCCCTCTCCTCTGCTCCCCCTTCCCCTCCCCTCTCCTTTGCTTCTTCATCTCTCTTCTCCTCCTCACCTTTCTTTCTCTCGCCTTCCTCCTTCCTCATCGTGTGACGCTGGGCCCTCCCTCCTTCCGCATCCTTCCCCCCCTCCCCAGGTCTGCCCCGGGCCCGCTCCCATGCGGCTTGCCACACGCCGGGTGGAGCTCTCGGTCGACGAGCGCCACTGGCGGAGCGGGGCCGTCGTCAGCTCCTCGTTTCCTCCTCCCTTTTGTCCCAGTCCTCCTCCCCCCCCTCCCCCTCGAGGCGGCCGATCCTTTCGTCGCCCCCCCCCCCCCCCCGAGCGCTCGTTCGGCCCAGGCTCAGTCTGCAATGCCGCCGCACCTCCCCGTCGGGAGGCGGCAGCTGTGCACCTGCACCCGTGCTGGCCAGGCCCACTCGTGGGCCCAGGGTGGGGTATGTGTGCCTCCCCAGCCGAGCCAGGCGGCCGTGGGCACGGTCGGTGGATGCGTGCAGCTGGCGTCCTCGCGGCCGCGCTCGCCTGCGCTGCTTTTGCTTCTGCTGCTGCTTCTCGTTTTGTTCTTCCCCCCCCTGCTGCTGCCCTCGCCTCTCCTGAGCCACAGGGCGCCCACTCGAGCTGAACAACAATTGTAGCTTGCGTCCTCGTGTCTCTGGTCAGCTTCCCCGCGCCGGGCGTCACGCTTCTTCCTCGTGCGGCTTGTGCCTCGGTGCCGGCCTTTCTGTCCGTACCTCCTCCTGCCCTGGTGCACGGGTGGACACGGGCGTGCTCGCATGAGCACACTGGTGAGATTCTTCTGCTACGTGCTGAGTCTAGAGCTCGCGTGTGCGTGCACTGAGAAGCCCTCCTGAGCATTTTTTATAAATCCATAAACATATAAAAAATAGCGGGTGATGAGGAGGAGGAGGGGGTGAAGATGATGATGGGTGGAGAGGATGTAAGTGAGGGGGCGTGGGAGGGGGAGGATGGGATGGCCCCCATTCGCAGTCGGCCAAAGTATGATAGCCATGGAGGTGCATTCCAACATGTACACGTTCTGCTCCTCCCCCTCATTCCCCCACCTCCGCACCTGTGCCGTATGACACCCACTGGCTACTCGCTCTCAATGTCAAGTTCGTCGAATTCACCCGTGTCAGGACAGCCGAAGCTATGGGGTATTGTGCTTGCCCTCCGCCCCCTCCGCCCATCCCCCTAGAAGGAAAAACGAGCGGGGAAGGATGGGGGATGAGGAAGACGAAGAAACGGGGAGCAAGGGGCCGAATCTCACGACCATTCCTTCGGTGTTGGCTGTGCGAAGACTGCGCCCGACATGCCTTCTATGATGTTGGATTCTCATTGTGAGGCCATGCCAGCAGTCGAGCATCTGTTTCAGAAACCTCCTCCCGGAAAGCTGGGCCAGCGTATCTGAGCCAACTTGCCAGAAAACTGGCCTAGTTTCTTGAGCACGTTCGCCCTTCCAGCGTTAACACGAGCACTTGGCCCCGGCTTGTCTTAAGAATCTTCTGGAGAGCTGGCCCAGGCTTCTCAAGTGATGATATTATCCAGATTTTCGACTGTAGATATTCGTCCTATCTGCGGGGTGCCCAAAGGTATCGGGCATGATCGTTCGAGGCAAGCAGCAGAAGCAAGGAACGCTTGCGCAGCGCCTTCCCCGCCTTTCAGCGCCTGCCACCGCCCCCCTCGCCCCGCAGGCCTACGAGGACGTAGAGTTCAGCGTTGCCACCTGCCTGTCTTGGCCAGCCGGCCCCCCGGTATGGGAGAACATGCTCATTCCTCGGGGGGGGGGGTCAATACCACCGATGGGGAAGGGAAGAACACGTCGGATGATGGGATAGATAGAGAAGACAATTCGAGTGCGAGTTTGCTGGGTCACGACCGGTTCGCCTCCCTCGGTTGTGGTCATGCTGATGCCTCCCAGCCAACCCTTCTCCTCTGTAATTACCCCTCTCCTGCTGTAGCCTCCCCTTCCTCACGGATGCCACATTTTTACGTTCGGAGGCCAGGCGCAATTCGAAAGCCACCCCTCTCCGCAGCTTCGTCTGCAGCACACCAGCCACCTTCTACACAGCGTGCACCGTCGACATACCACCCAGCACTGCACACCACCCGTCCCAAGTGCAACTTAGAGGTGTGAGTCCTACTCCATGGCCTCCGTCTCCAGCACACCACCCAGTACTCTACGACCTCCGTCATTTCCAATGCGCACCCAGTAGTTCGCACCACCCTGCCCAAACGCATTCTTAAGTTTGCATTCTTCTCCGAAGCCTCTGTCTCAAATGCGCCACCCAGTGCTCCACAGCCTACGTCTCCAACACCCCTCCAGTACTGCACACAGGTGTGACTTAAAACAATGTGCACTCAACTTCACAGCCCCCGTCTTCAAAATTCGACCTGATAGAGCCTCCGTCTCTAACACACCGCCCAGTATCAAACACCGCAGACACAACGCACCGGGAGCATGCCAAACAGTGCTCCACGGCTCACGTGGGACGACACATACACCACATCAGGCACAACACACGATTCGCACACAAATACACACCATGAACCTCTCTTCCCCCTCGGAGCTTGTAATAGGAGAAGGGACACACCAGCACTGACTGCTACACACATTTATATATATATAGATATGTGCGTGTATACATACATACATACATACATACATACATACAGACAGACAGACAGACAGACAGACAGACAGACAGACAGACAGACAGACAGACATACATACATACATACACACATACATACAAACACATACACAAACATACACATACATATATGCATATATACATACGTCTATTCAAACATGCCTACGTATATAACAAGTGAGGGAACACAATTATAAACACATATACATGCTTTCATACTGGCATGCATATTTGTATGCAGGTGTGCCGATTATAATATATGTGTATGTCTATGTTGGTACCTCTTCTCTATAAATGTTTGCGTGCATACAGCATACGTCTATATTGGGATGGATGTTCTGATGTGAGATTTTATTGAAACGTGCGTAGGCGCCTGGCGTTCTCCACGCAACTGCAGCGTTCTCTTGTGAGTGGGCCCAAGACACCGCAAGCACGGGCCGACAACAACCCCAGAGAGCCCAAGGCGGCCCCGCGGGAGACCGAAAACAGGCCCAACACGATCCCAAACGGGCAGGCACTGGATCCCCACCTTTCTGGCACGTGGTCCTTGTAATCAGGTGCAGGGCGTAGCTCGTGTATCTTGGGCAGCTCTGGCACACTGGGGGCCTGCCAGGGGCCTCGCGGAGTTGTCCAGGGGGAGAACGGGACAGAGACGGCTGTGCGGAGGCGGGAAAATGGACACACGCAGTCAGCCATGGGCTCCGTGGGGGCCCTCTCAGGAGAGAGGAGGGGACCTGTGTGCCTCCTCGGGGCCTTTGGATCCTCCGAGATCTTTCCATGAAGTCCCACAAGGAGTCCAATGGAGTCCAAAGACTGCCCAAGACGGCTCTAGAGACTTCCGAGGCGCGCTCTGTAGGCCCCTCGGCTGCAAAAGGCGGCCCTGGAGGTTTCCAAGAGTCACCCAAACGGTACACGATGGCCCACTATGGCCCGTGCTTAGATCGGAAAATGCGCGTCGATCAGCGGCAGCAGGAATTCATCGTGCTCAGCACGATGAGAGGAGCGACGTGGCGGCCGACGGAGACCAGCTGCATTGCTGAGCTCTTCCTGGGCAATTCGCGGTGTCGACATATATCGTCTTGTCGCCAGATCAGCGCGTCCCAGAGTCGTTCCAGCTGCACTTCGAGCGTGCCGGCTCGTGGGTCCCCCTCACTGCGTCGCCAGAGTGATGCGTGCCAGGGAAGGTGCCGGGCTGGTCAGCTGGTCAGCTGGTGGGTGCCCATCGTTTCGCCGCCCGCTCGCGTGAGCCTCGGGGGCGGCGGGAAGTCGGAGTCCGCGGTGGGCTCCGCGAATTTGGAGCTACCAGGGCGCAGGCGCCGGAGGCATCTGGAATGGGCGCCCGTGCGCAGCGCGCATGGCCCATGCTCGAAACTGTGGAAGAGGGCAATGGGAGCAGGAGGCGGACGAGCAGGAGAAGGAGCACCAGGAGCATGAGGATGAGCACCAGACCAGGAGGAGAAAGATGACGATGTTGTTGATGATGATGATGGTGGTGGTGATGATGATGATGATGATGATGATGGCGATGATGATGCTGATGATGCTGATGATGCTGATGATGCTGATGCTGCTGCTGATGATGAGGACGATGATGCTGATTCTGATGGTGATGGTAATTCTAACCGTGATGGTGATGGTGGTGGTGGTGATGATGACGACGATGATGATGATGACGACGACGATGATGATGACAATGATGATGACGACGGTGATGATGATGCTGATGATGCTGACGTTGATGATGATGATGATGATGATGACGATGATGATGATGATGATGATGATGATGATGATGATGATGATGTCGATGACGACGATGACGACGATGATGATGCTGATGATGATGGCGATGATGAGAACGAGTAGTAGTAGTAGTAGAAGTAGTAGTAGAAGTAGTAGTAGTAGTAGCAGTAGTAGTAGTAGTAGTAGTAGTAGTCGTAGTAGTAGTAGTAGTAGTAGTAGTAGTAGTAGTAGTAGTAGTAGTAGTGGTAGTAGTAGTAGTAGTAGTAGTAATCGTACTAGTAGTAGTCGTCGTAGTAGTGGTAGGAGTACACGCAGTAGTAGTAGTAGTAGTAGTAGTAGTAGTAGTAGTAGTAGTAGTAGTATTCGTAGTAGTAGTAGTAGTAGTCGTAGTAGTAGTAGTAGTAGTAGTAGTAGTA